CCCTGTCTCTTTCAGAACTCTCGGCCCCTCCATCCCAGAGCCTGGAGTCCAAGCTCCGGTGTCTGCTCTCACCCTCCAGGAGGCCATGGCCAGGTTTGAGTGTCCTTGCCCCCAGGTACCTGCCAAACACTAAGGGCTCGAGAAGAGTGTGCTGAATCTTCGTCAGCCAGCCAGACCTTCAGACCTTCCCTGTGAATTAAAGGATGAGTCCAACAGGAAACAGCTGCCCCCTCTACGTTGTCACAGAGGTGTTGAAAAATGAGACATCCATGCCTGCAATTGGAGCGCACTGGTCTTGCTCTAGTGATGCGTTTGGTGATGCTTTGATGGCAACTACAGACTAGGCCGTCGTCGAATGAGACCAGCTACAGACAGAATACACATGAACGGGCACCTCTATGCTTCTGTCAAGTTTTAGTTGCAAAAGCGAGCAGTTGCTGAATGTGCCCGCATGCTGCCATTTGCTGATACCTGGACAACTGTACCGCTTGTTGGTCCTCATCAAGGAGTTGCCAGACAGCTTGACTTGGCATTAAGACCCGGTGTTTTCTACTTTCATCTCTTAAATCTATCCCAGTCAACACTGAGCGTGCAGTGAGAGATCCCCCTTTGCAGAACACCCCTGTGTTAAGCTCTGTGTGGAAGGCGTGCTGCTTTTCTCTGCTGTAAATCCTGGCCACTCCTAGATTGAAGGAAATCTGCTCTCTGAAGTTGTGGTCTCTTCTTGTCCAACCCGGAGTGGCTCAGGCTGCCTTGCAGAGCAAGGCCCATGACAGCGGGGCCATGGGGACGTTAGAATCGACACCTGAGCACCTTGGGCAAGTGGTATCTGCCTGCTCATGGTGGATTAAGAACAAGATCCTTTGTTTCTAAGAAAAATCAATGTTTTTTAAGTGCAGAAAACACCAGCTGTTCTACAGGGTGACGCGGGCACACAGGCTGCGTATCAGCAGCCAATTATCTACAAACAGAGCAGGAGCAAACCCCCAGTCAACTCTCCTGGGAACGAGTCTTTGGGCACCCCTGGTCCAGAACACCTCTGTCCAGTCTAGCCAAGGAAACTGAAGATTTGTAAGGAAGAAAGAGTGGCTTTTGTTTGTTTTTTAAAATCCAAATGGGATTCCACAGAGGTCACCTCCCCTGGGGAACAAAGCCACACCTCCTACAAGGCTTGTGGCAGAGACCCTAGAGAGTTCAGAAAACAGCACTGGGGGTTTCCTAAGTGGACTGGGCAGCTCCCTTCCAGCCAATCACTGCCCTGCCATTAGAGGGGAAAGACAGATACAAAAAAAAAAAAAAAAAAAAGGCAAATACACACTGTCAAAGCCTGGAGGCTGGGTGGAATTCTCTGTGTGCCAAGCAGTAAACATCAGTAACACTGCAAACAGCATCTTAAAGAGGGAACCGCCCCTGCCAGGAAGCTCAGCCCACAGAGGCTAGAGCTCAGCCACACAGCCGCGCGGGCAGCCAGAGGCGGCCCTGCTGGAAAATGCTCTGGGGAACTGCAGGGGAAGAGAATGAATCTAGAACAAAGATCTCACTGGGACCTGGCCCTCTGCGTCTGAGGTCCCACCGTCTGCCAGCCTGAGGTATTTACACGACAGTCATCCGCTCCCCAAGTTCAAATGCAACAGGGGATACTAAACTGTGCTACGGTCCTCAATCAACCATTCAAACATGCAGGATTAGCTTTTCCTGTAGCGTTTCACTTAGTGCTTTCCATATTTGAAGCCCCTTAAAACTTAAGTCTTTTGGAGAATACATCCTTAAAAAACAACCAGCAAAACCAAAACCAGGAGGCAAGTGACCCTGCAGGGACAGACGCAGAGCAGACGGGACCTGACCCCAGGAACCTCCACACGCCACCCACGTGGAGCCTCTCACCGTAAGCAGACAAGGACTGCACATGGCAGAAGTCCCCCCAGCTGGCACCCACAGCTCCTCCCAGACACTCGCTTCAAATGTGACTTCACAGAGGAAACACAAAGTGAAACACAAACGTGGTGCGGACGCAGTTCCATGTAGGTGTGTTGCCCGACGTCACAGCCATGACCGAGAGGAGGGGAACGGGAGTCCTGTGGCTTCAGGCAGCCTCAGGCCCCCTACGGGAGCCTCGGTGCACATGGAAAGCAGAACACACACCTGGCTCAGCCCCAAGCTTCCAGCTGACTGCGCAGCAGTGAATCTCTGTGTGAGTCCCCAGCCTGCTCCACTAAGCCACCACACACCTGGTGGCTGAAAACCATAAATCCACACTCCCACAGAACTGACAGCAGGACACAAGGGGTCAGCTGGGCCACCCTCCCTCCAAGGCCCTAAGAAACCACCCTTCCTGGCCTCTTTCCCTTCTGGTAGCTCCAGGTGTGCTTGGATTTGCAGCCTGGAACACTAAAATCCCTGCCTCCAGGGGCCAGCGCTGTGGCCCAGCAGGTTAAGCCATGGCCTGCAGCGCCAGCATCCCATACTGGGCACCGGCTTGAATCCCGGCTGCTCCACTTCTGATCCAGCTCCCTTCTAATGCACCTGGGAAAAGCAGCAAAAGATGGCCCAAGTCCTTGGGCCCCTGTACCCACATGGGAGACCAGGAAGAAGCCCGGTGTAGCCCGGTTGTTGTAATCATTTGGGGAGTGGACCAGCGGATGGAAGATCTCGCTCTCTGTCTCTCCTTCTCTCTATCATTGCCTTTCAAGTAAATAAATGTTAGCTGTGGGGAGCAACTCGGACTGGACTGAGTTACTGGAATTAAGACTTATTCTATGCATCTGCTCTCCCACAATATGGCGCTGGGAGAGGAGGAAACAGCTTCTACACAGCTGCCTCTCACCAACTTGACAAGCTGCAGGACCTGCTCCTGATTGGAGGAGAGCAGCGTACTCGGTGTGTGGGTAGCAGAGTTGGGATTGGCGGAAGAGGACTATAAAGGAGGAGAGAGACAACATGCACCAGGAACATCTAAGGGGAACATCTATCTGAAGGAACACCTGTGCAGCCCCCGAGAGAGCCGGCCGGCGGTGTGCCGCTCCCCTGCGGAAGTGGGGAAAGTGGCCAGGGGGAACCGCCCTTCCACGGAGGTGGAAGGGACGGTAGCCAACCCGGGAAGAACCAGCAGCAAACCCGGGGAGGGCCGAGCAGACAAAAGAACAGCGCAGGGTCCTGTGTCGTTCCTCCACGAAGAGGGGGAGCGACATTAGCAAAGACAATGTCTGCCTCCGTCCTCACTTGGCCTTGTCCCCTGTGTCCCTGTGTCTCCAATCTCTCTCTGCCTTCCTCCTCCAGGGGCCTAGGTCATGATTTCGTCCCAAGATCCTTAACTTAATTATGTCTGCAAAGGTTCTTTGTTCTTTAACATGCAAAACAGTGTTTATTAATTTTAAATAAAAACGTACATAGGGAAATGACTACGACAGCCAAGTCAACACACCCATCTCTTCACGTACGCATGTGCATGTACATGGTGAGTAGAGTTGCAGTATTAATACAGTGTTATTCTTTAACACGTTTTCTCCATAAGGTTGCATTGACATTTTCCAGAGATCTTGGACTTAGCTCTTTTGGGGATGGAGCCAACCCACAACAGTCTCCAGCAAACTAGAGGAAGAAAACTAATTATTTGCTTAAATTAAAGTGGGCCACAAACACTTTACTGCATTTAATCACTGAACACCCAAGACACTGCTGCATCAGAGGCTGACAAGACACCATGCCCTTGTGTGTAACACGGACACAACCTGTCCTGGCAGATGTACAGGTTGATGGAGAATCATTTAGAGCACCCGGCATCCCAGTATCTTGTGCCCGATGGCTCTGGGGAAAACGTCCAAGAGCCACCCACAGTTACGTCTTGATCCAGCCCCTACGAGGGTGTGTCTTAGGCATTCTGAAAAGACTGGGACAGCAGACTTGCCGAAGGTGAGCAATGATGAGACCCACGGGGAACCGAGGCTTCACATCACAGGAAGCACCAACCCTGTCCCACCCAGCGAGTCACACCAAGACCGTGTTTCTCCAAACACCCCAAGCATCCCCGACTTCACGGTGCAGTCTGCCACTCCACGTGGACCTGCCAGGGTGGAGCTCTGTCTTCTCTCTTGTGTCCCCAACTCCTGGCACAGTGCCTGGCACCTGTAGCGTCCGATAAACACTGTTGGCAAGAAGGAGGACAGGAGCCAGGACGCTCTGGACGCCTCTGCTCTGGTCCCAAATAACAACATGGAGAGCTGCTGCTGAGTTCAGCTCACAGCGCTGCGTGCTCTCTGCGTACTGTGAGCATTAAACAAGGTGACGCCCTGCACACTGGGCACGGCAGGTGCTCCAGAAACGTTAGGGCTCACCATCACTTACTCCAGTCCTCACCCCAACAGGTGGTGGAGGCATCCTTACTCCCAGTTACACAGCAGGAACGCAGGAAGAGAGGTAAGGTCACAGAGCTGCACCTGCAGAGCTAGGATCTGTCCCGATACAGAGACCGGTGGTTCTCTCTGCTAACCACACCACTCCTGACCCACGCTATCCAGTCCTCACTGTCAGGCTGGTCCCAGCTCCCATCTCTACAGTGAGACTACATACTGGGACATGTGCAAATGCTTGTGTACATGTATGAATCTGTACACATACATGTATCTCTACACATACATGTAGTCTGTATGCACACACACTCCCTAACTGAAGACATAAAGTAGAGAGAACACTGACCTCAAAACTAACACCCTAGGGAACATGCTAAATTTCCTTGCATGTCAATTTCTTGAATCATCTCATCAAAGGATAAAGGTCACATGTCCCACTCTGCAGAGCTCACACAACGCACAAGCAGCACACAGGATGCTTTACAAGTGCTGGAACCTAAGCAGGCTGATTACCTTGTGTGGGACGTCTTGTTTCTAGCTAAACCACTCTAACTTGACACTCATGCACCAACACTTTTCTCTCCCCCTGAGCTCCGAAGCGATCAGGAAACGTGACCAGGGGCCATCACCGGGCATTCCCCGCCACGGACTCACAGGAGGAGTGGATGCTGGGGAAGCTTTTGCGGCCCTCGGACACCAGGTCAGGGTCACCCGTGCAGTGCATTTCCGAGTTCATCACTCCATCTGGAAAGCAGCGGTAAAAGAAATCGGGGCGAGGTCTACAAAAGACACCAGGGACATTTTCAATATAAAATGCTGCCATCACAAGCGAGCCCCAAGCTGCCCCCCACCCTCCCTGCTGCCCCCAGCTCCTTCCTCAAGCCCCCTTTGCCACCAACCCCGGAACTTCCCACGGAGCCTACAGACATGGGTGGGGGGCTCAAGCTTTGGGGTGAGAAAGATCTGAGTGGCAGCCCCCCACTTGCTACTTGCTGGCACGTGACCCTGGGCAGGTGCAGCACTCATCCTCTCCCAACCTCGGTCTCCACATTTATAAAAGGAGTAAATCAACACCTGTCCAAAGGTGAGGTCCTGAGGGTTGATGATGTGACTTAAGGAGGTGCCAGGCACGGTGCCAGCAGTGTAAAAGGTACCCCCTGCAACAAGCTACAGCTCCACCAACTCAGAGCCTGGACACGGGATCCATGAGTCCAGGCTCCTCATGTCACTGTCTCCTGCGTGTGGGCAGCCCAGTCTCACTGAACCTCGCCGAGGGCCCCTGGGTGCCAGGAACACAGGCACCTGGGTGTTTCTCTGGTCTAGCACAAGGCAGGGAGGCCTCTGAAGGGAACAGGGATCCCTGGCCTTGGCACTGAGCCTCCTGCAGCAGCACAGCTACCATGCATTGAGTTCTTCCTGGGCTAAGGCACTTCTTGCACCATATGATTCTTAGGAAAATCAGATGAATTTGAGCCTGGGGCTTTCGTGACTGTAGCAGTGCTAAAAAAGGAAAACTACACCCCTCCCAAAGGCCGCACACAACCTGTAAGTGGCAAAGACAGGCTCGGAAGTCCTTGCACCTAGACATTCCCCATCCCCCATGCTGAGTGCCTCACTCAAGGGAGGATTCATTCACATGTAGACATGTGAGAGCCACCCACCTCACAGTCCTCCAGCTAACACTGCTGAGCCCCTGCCATGGACGAGGCTGTGCCAAGGCTGTAGCCCTTTCTCTGCAGGTGCCGAGTCACGGTTCACAGGGAAGGACTCCCTGGCACTCCTAGCTGTGCAATCTGGGCAGGGCCTCAGTCAACCATCTAAGCTGTGGGTGCACTGGCTCTCCCCTCCTCAGCCGGCATTTCTCCAAGTATGGCTGTCCACCCGCCAGAACTGAACCTCAGAGGGGTGAGGCCTTGGGCTCAGCATTTTAAGGACATGGAGTTGGAAGAACATGGTAGCCCCAGCTTACACGCTGCCTGGTTTTTAATCCACCTTCCACCCACCCTGGTCCTTGGCCAGCACCAATTAGACAATAAATGCTGACTCTCTTGGATGGGGGGTATAACTTGTGTCCACAGCCAACTGCTAGTCAGGGCCCAGGCAGGTCTTGAACTCGGGTCTTTGGGCTGACAATCTCTACAGAAACTGGCTCTCTGTCAGTGTAGCCAGAGGAGAAGGGGAGGTAAATAGAGAACAGAAAGTACTTCTCAGGGGCCATAAGAGGAATGTGCCACAGGCCAAAGGTCGCACGTCAACCCATGTGCCTCATCATGACGAATATGTGATATTTATTGCTAGAGGCCCAAGCTAGCAAGTGAATACGTGTGTGGTGAGGCTTGAGGACGGCCGTGATGACCACCCGAGAAATGTCAACAGCAGACGCTGACCCACAAGACAACGTGAGAGAACTTCAAAAAGTTCGTGGAAAATGGAATTAAAAGATAAATGTACTGTGGTGTTTAAAATTGGAAATCCATGCATAATTGTTCATAAAGCACATTTCCCATGAATTTATTTGAAGATGTCTCATATTCTTTACTATTAACCTCTTTCTTTGTAAAACAGTGAATTCATAACTCGAAGTCAAGGCAAGACCTATGCCAAGGATGAAGAGCCCAGAGGACAATTTTAGGGAAAATCTGAAGAGCTCAAATCTGCCCCATCCAGCGTCCTCTGGCCAGGGTTCCTATAGAGATGGCCTTGGGCATCTAAGTCACCATCCGTTGCTTTGAGGAACTTACCTTCCCACTATTAACTTAATAGTGTTTGTGCAGACTCCATTCAAAGCAAGAGCCAAGGACACCGCTGCAAGACAAAACCAACAGACAGAACATTACCAGCTGGCTCTGAAATCAGAACCATCATCATCTCTGTTACATTATACTGCCACTCAATTTGTGACCAGAAGGATACTAACCAGGACTTTCAAAGCAGAGGGAACTTGGGTTGCTGGAGGAACGTACAACTAGGACAAACTCTGCAGAGTGACTCATAAAATGCGACCCCCCCCCCCCCCCGCCGTGACATGAGATTTCTCTCTCCTCCTGGTCATCACAGAGGAGCCCATGTATCATCTTCTGGCTTGACAGGGACAGATTTAACACCACACCACGGAGATAGGGACAGATTTAACACCACACCACGGAGAACGTCTTCTGCTGTGTAGCAACAAACAACTACTCCCCCCACGCCCACCCCCGCTACCTTCTCAGGTGTCGCTACAATCAGAGCAGCTGCGGGAATTCTACTGCAGAGGGGGACAGTCCCACTCAGCAGTGTCTCACTGCGGACGCCTCACCAACGGACAGCCGTCCATTTGTAATCTGGGAGGGTGAGGAGACCAAAAACCTCTCTGGGCTTTGAGGTTTACCCAGATGAGCTTGCCCAGGTGTTGCGTTTGCCAGGTAAAACATCAAGAATTTCCCACATATATTGTTTTAAAGTTTACAGCACACATGGACTTTGTCCAGGTAGCTTGGAAAGACTTTGCTGGGTGAAGTACAGATCATCCACAGGGCTTTCCCCTGAAGAAAAAATCAAGCGTACATAAAAAGCACAGTCATTACTATCAGTGTGGTGGAAGGTCAGATGCCGGGCACGAAAGCAATAAAAGCCTATCGATGCCCCGTTCTTCTGCTTTGTTGAATAATAAGGCATGCGAGCTACCATTCCCCTTTGGCAAATAGTAACCGCTCGAAACCAGCTGCGATTTATGCAGCCTATCGCAGTGGAGGGACATTTTCGGGAAGGAGTTGCCTGGAGCAATGCTTGGCCATCGAGGGGGACAAATGTGCTGCTCTACAAGCAGTGAGTAGTGTGGAATGGCCAACGTGGTCACCAAGGGCACAGGACCTGCGATGGGGACAAACCCACCTGCAGGGACACACTCACACAAACTCGTCGGGAGGAAGCTGATCACCCCCGTGTGGAATGAGAAATCACCCCCGTGTGGAATGAGAAACAGCTGTAGCTGAGTGTGGCGGCACCGGAGGCACGGGCCCTCCAGCTGGTGAGCAGAGCAGGGGCCAGTGGCTCGGTGCTGTCACTGCAGCACTGATCATGGAGCTGGGATGCAAAGATAGAGACCTATGTGGGGGAGGCTGGGAAGACCCACTGATTGCATTCTTTTTATTTATTTATTTGATAGGTAGAGTTACAGACAGTGAGAGACAGAGTTCTTCCATCCGATGGTTCACCCCCCAAATGGCCACAATGGCCAGAGCCGCGCCGATCCGAAGCCAGGAGCCAGGTGCTTCCTCTTGGTCTCCCACGCAGATGCAGGGGCCCAACCCCTTGGGCCATCCTCCACTGCCCTCCCGGGCCACAGCGTGGTGCGCCGGCCGCAGCGGCGGCCATTGGAGGGTGAACCAACGGCAAAGGAAGACCTTTCTCTCTGTCTCTCCTCTCACTGTCCACTCTGCCTGTCAAAAATAAATAAATAAATAAATAAAAATAAAAATTTGAAGGAGCTGAGCTAGAAAAATGTGTGGATGTGATACGGCCACCAAGGGCTGGCAACAACCCCCATGTGCCTCACAGAGACAGAGAAGGGTGGGGGACCAGAGTGAGGGTGTCTGTGGTGTGGAAGGCACGTCGGCATTCCAGAGGCAAACTGATTGTTATTTTCATCTGAACAGCACAACTCCCACAGAATCAATGCCAAGGCCTCTCGTTGACACCAGAGAGAAAGCTGTGCTGAGATCCGATGCTGGAAAGACCTGACAATCAGGAACACGACAGGTCCCATGACTATAACCAGGTGCGTCTGGCTCATAAAGACAGTTTGTCCGGGACCCCACAGCACTGTGGGAGAAGAGTCGGAAAGATGAACCAAACTGTGGCTGACGAAAACATCTACAGCAACCCATCCTGTGAATGGGCTTGCACTGAGGGCAGCCTGTACTGAGGGTGCTACTGGCTGCAAGCACTCCAGAGCCTAGAGGACTCGTGCTGCCACCATGGCTGGTGTGGGGAACCCAACCCTCGGGCACGTGGATAACAGGTTCTCCAAGAAGCGGACCAGGACGTTCTGAAGCCTGGATTCCTAACATCCCTATGCTGCGCGGGCAGACCTCACTCCTCTGCTGCAGCACCAGATGCGCGGATGTGGCCCTGTGCACACACAGGTCAGGGAAGGGCTCTGGGGTCAAGTGTGGGAGGCTTCGTTCAAGTCTGTTGAAGACACCTGAGTGAAGGAAGGACTGACCCACTGAGATCGTCCTGAATTCACACAGCACTGGAAAATCTGTACCTGGTTTCCTATTCTTGGTTTTTAAAGATCACACTCCCCCACACCCACTACTTCAGACACTTCCTAAAACCAGGATTTGTGTTTTTTTTTTTTTTTTTTTTTTTGATAGGCAGAGTGGACAGTGAAAGAGAGAGAGAAAGGTCTTCCTTTTGCCGTTGGTTCACCCTCCAATGGTTGCCACAGCCAGCGCACCGCGCTGATTTGATGGCAGGAGCCAGGTGCTTCTCCTGGTCTCCCATGGGGTGCAGGGCCCAAACACTTGGGCCATCCTCCACTGCCTTCCCGGGCCACAGCAGAGAGCTGGCCTGGAAGAGGGGCAACCGGGACAGAATCCGGCGCCCCGACCTGGACTAGAACCCGGTGTGCCAGCGCCGCTAGGTGGAGGATTAGCCTAGTGAGCCGCGGTGCCGGCCAAACCAGTGCTTTTTTAAAAAAAAGGAAAAAAGAGTCTGTGCACGATGGGAGGCTCTGCTTCATCTTTACAGGACAGTTTCTCATTCATGTAGGCAAACAGAACATCCAATCATTCCGCCTTCTTGCTTCATGCAGAGGGGCAGAGTGTGGTGCCCAGTTCTGAAATGTCACCCCTAGGGAGATTTAGCTGAGAACAGAAAGGTCTGCAGAAGGTGACCGTCAGCTGCTTACCGCCATCACAACAGCCTGACTCCAGAAGCCGCAGTAAATCAGAGCCATAACCATGACAGACAGTTCTTACCCACAGTCATTTATCTCGGGACTCCGTGCCAGGACAGCAACTGCATAAAAAGTAAAGCAGGGGCTGGCGCTGTGGCACAGTAGGTTAATCCTCTGCCTGTGGTGCATCCCATATGGGTGCCAGTTCTCGTCCCGGCTGCCCCGCTTCAGATCCAGCTCTCTGCTTTGGCCTGGGAAAGCAGTGGAGGATGGCCCAAGAGCTCGGGCCCCCGCACTCATATGGGAGACCGGAAGAAGCTCCTGGCTCCTGGCTTTGGATTGGCATAGCTCCAGCTGTTGCGGCCATTTGGGGAGCGGACCAGCAGAAGGAAGCCCTCTCTCTGTGTTTCTCCCTCTCTCTCTCTGTCAACTCTACCTCTCAAATAAATAAATTTAAAAAAAAATTAAAGCAAACGGATTTCCAGGCCAACTGCGAGGGCTCAAACACGCTGTGTTAGGATTCACTGCGTTATCTGTCTAAACACTGCCCAGGAGCTGAGTCTCCGGTGGGAGGGCACGTATGCCCCTGTGGAAACCACCTCAGCTACAGAGGCGGAGACTGTGAGCAGATCCCCAAACCACAGAGGAGCAGCCTGGGCACACACCTGACCTGAGGGAGAGCATCCACAGGCTGCCAGCTACTCTAGACTTTGTGTCCCAGCTGGAGACATGAATTAAACCAGGGTCTCAATCTAGGAAGTCTGGACCAAGTCACACAGTGAATCTGGTGGTTGGCACTGATGCTGAACGGTCTGGTGACTTGGGGTAGAGGCAGCCATTGGCACAAGCCCAAACCTCCACCATGTCCACCCAGGAGAGTCAGGCAGGAAGGGGGTGGGTGAGGAGGGAGGCACCTCCCACACAGGGATGGTCCTGAGCCAGGAGGGGGGTCTTCAAGTGGCTGGCCAGCTCTCCTCTCTGCATGAGGCGCCTCTGAACTTTCCTCTTCTGTTCTTGGATGTCTATGAGATTGCTAATTATAGCCCTGTATTAAACCTCTAATTTTTTTTTTGCGCTAATTTGAGAGAGATTCTGCTCTTTTCAACTAGACAGGGCCTAACTAAAGCCTGGTTATGTAAGGAATGTTCTGTGTTGCTTTAAGGCAGAAGCCCCCTTGGTCCCTACATCTTGGATTCAGCCCTTACACAACCGCCTTCCCAAGCATGTTATCTGCTACATATTCACTTTTTCAAACCCCAATTATTAACACACACTCTTAAATGAGGCATCTCATTTTTCCAGATTTACTACCTCCCTGAATGGTAAGTCCATATGCACACAGCAAACACAAAATTTGGGGGTAAGGGTTTGGGTAACTCTTATGCAAGGTGTCAAAAAAAATCAACCTAATTCATTTTGCCTCATGATCAAAAATCTAAAAACCTGACTTCAACCAGCTTTATTTGGGTTGTTAAATAAGCCAGTTAGTTTTAACCATCTCTTAATATCATCATCTACTTGGCATTGGATTGATATGCTGACTAGAACAGACTGATCCCCACAATGTCGATGCCTCATCACACGCACACTGCCTGCAGGAGGGGTTTCCGACAACGGCGTCACTGCAGCCTCCTGCACCTGACAATTGCTCCCCTGCCTGACTGTCCCCAAAGTGAAGAAGGGTGGTGCCGCTGGGTTCCAATTTCTATTTTGTTTTACATCTTTTTCCCACTTTTGCTTCCAGCCAATGTTTATTTCTGAATTGCCCATAATGTAGGCCTATTGGACACAAATGTGAGACTAGACAGTCAGCGGTGACAGTCAGTGTTGTCTTCACTGCCTGCGGCTACCCTGCCTCTATGCCTGAACAACACAGATTTCCAGTGTGTAGGGACAGACTTCAGCACCGTGGACAGCGACCACAGCCTCCACCTCTGAGGCTCCCTTACCTCAGGAGTACAAGTTGACTGTTTTTGTCTTGTTTTTCTCCCAAGCTTCATTTGACCCCAAGAAAACCCAGTTGGGTACAACTGAGACTTTGAAACACATGATGATCTGCTTAAATTGTGCCCCATCCCCTAAAGCAGGAACGGCAGGTACTCTACCTAAGAAGGCTTCTTTAATTTCAGTCTTGTCTGTTCGCCGGATAATTTTCACCACACAAATAACAGCCAGGGGTGTGAGGAATGAAATTGCCTGGAAAAGATAACAAATAATCCCTTATGAGGACATTGGTTTGCTATCAGAGGGCTGATTGGTCATTAGTTCCAGTTAGCTTCATTTCAACTCACTAGTTGAAGGACCCCATTGAACTCCTGACCTCGAACAAAGGGGGGTGATTTATATCCATACGGGGAAGCCACAGAGACATGAGAAACTGCAGGTTACAACTCATTTGTAATTGCTGGGGGCCATGTTCAAAGTGGGGGCTCTTTAAACAGAACAGTCTACAATTACAATGACTCATTAGGGCCAGCAACTCCCCTGTGTCCTCCGAGGAAGGGTGGGAAACCCTTGGCCTACCCATCCCATCTCTGACAACAGACAGCAGGTGGTACCTGGAGCCAATTCATTTGTTTTGGTGTTCTTTTGTTGAATACTTACTCCTTCCCCAAAGCAGGACTCAGTCTCACCTCTTCCTTTCCTCACTCCCTTTCCTCCGCATACATGCACAACACATAATTAATGAATCAAGCTGGTGGTATCCAGATGTAACCGACACTCACCACAAACCCAACTACAGTTGCAGTATCTGTACAAGGGACCTTCAAGCCCAGGAGCCTCTTTGTTGAGGAGATGAACTTGGGGGGTTGAAGTTATCAAGTTCCCAGGCCTTTTGCCCTTGCCCCCTTATCTCTGTGCACCCGCACCCATATGGTAACAGGTGTCATGGTAACCAACAGGTCCACCTGCTTGGCTAACTCTCCACAGCCCTGTGATGCAATGGTTTGGCTTTGGGCCATGTTTGTCTGTAGGTCCCCCTACAAGCACTTGGGGTGCATGGCTAGATGCAGCTCCCAGTGGATGGATGTGGATATGTGGGCAGCTATTGGTGGATGTGGCTGGATGTGGCAGTGCACAGATGTCCGTGTGTGTCCAGCGATCACCGTGGACACAAAGGCAGATACCTCCTGTAGCCCCACTGCCTTTTGGGGCAAGTGGCTTTTCCTTGTGCATTTCTCACCAACACTGTGAGTGAAACAGTTGCAAGTGGTTCCCTGACCCGTTGGAATCCCAATCTGTTGCTCCCAGCCCCTAAGCCCTGAACACACACTCTTGAACTCTGGTGATGGCTCTGTGACTGCCTGCTCCAGACCCCAGGGCTAAGTGACATGCCCGAGGGCACACCACAGGTAAAAGGCAAGGCAGGGTTCAGAGGCCATGTCTTCTGCCTCCCACAGCAAGTCTTCATTCCGAAAGTCCATGATGAAGAAGTTATCCTTAAATACTCCAACAACTCTCCCAATAAAAGTATGTTACTTCCTATGAGAACAACTTCTCAGAAAAACAATATCAGAAGGGACTGATACTCTCACAAACACACAATTGGTTTAGCAGTCAGTGGGAGGGTGTAGTGATGACTGGCAGTGTTCACACTTTTACAAATCTTCATGTGTCCTCTAATGAGTTGTCACTCTGGGGAGGGCCTTCCTGCTTGGACCAAGGCATGGCTGGAAGATACTTTTCTCTTTAAAAAAATGGAATTAACCCAAATGAACACAATCTTGCAAAATCATGTGAGATGCTCTGCACACTCACCACCACCCGACTGCCAGAGCTCAAATCACCCTGAGGGCTCCTCCTTGGGAGCTGCCTCGGAGTTTAAGAGACACATAGCGCAGTGCGCCGGCCGCGGCAGCCATTGGAGGGTGAACCAATGGCAAAGGAAGACCTTTCTCTCTCTCTCTCTCACTGTCCACTCTGCCTGTCAAAAAAAAAAAAAAGAGACACAACAAAAACACTGTCCTAGCTTGCCACTGTTGCTTCCTGACCACAGACGTCAGTAACTGCTTTGATGGTCCCCTACAACAGCAGTTTACAACTGAGAAAGCCTGTCACCACCACGGTGCTCAGAACTGAACGAGAGAAGGTGGAAGACTGCCCCAGGGTGGCATGGAAAAGCCACGCTCACCCACGAGCTGTCACAGTGAGTCTGTGAGTGATTCCACAAGTGAAGTTCCTGGGGACTCTCAGACCTGGCAAAAGAGCTGACTACAACGCTGGTCCCCTCAATACACTTAAAGGATGAGTGTCTCCAGGGGCCCTGACACTGGGTGTGGACAAACACCGCTCCATGTTCTGACTTGTGCATTCAGCACTGAGACAGCAATGACTGAAGACCACCTACGTAAGTCCAAAGTCATGGTCAAAGCCAAGGAAGTCCTTGTTTCCCCAAACCCACACCTCAAAGCTACCAATCGAGCTCCCTTTTTCCTGTCCTCTCAAGCAATGCAGCCAGACCCAGCCACAACCCCCCTCTCCCTCACCCTCTCCATTTCCCATTTTCAAATAAATCTTTTTCTAAAAAAAAAAAAAAAATTGCCAAAGAAAATCCCGGAGCCAGAAGGTGCTGACCAAACAGGAAATGGGAACACCAGGTGGGAGACACCAGCAGTCAGTGGAGTCACCCAGCGATGCCCAACATGTGGCTTGATGGTAGGGGGTCGTGGTTGCAGGGGAAGGGTGTCTGTTAGCACCACCCCCTTGTCTCTGTTCTAACTGGACGCCCAGCTCCACCCCCTTGATGAAAGCAGACCTAATGTAACCCAATTTATATTTTCTCTAGGTAGACACATCTTGGCATCTTCTCTAGAACCACTGGTCAGCTCTACATTCAGAGCCAATGCTGAGCACCTGGGAAGGCCCAGCTGTGAGCTGTTAGGGCAAAGGCCCTCAGCCCCCACCTCTGCATGGCAGCAACAGCAACGTCTGTGTGTGTGTGTATCAGCATGTGAGTGTATGTGAGTGTGTGTGTGTGTGTGTGTGTGTGTGATTGCGTGGCATGTCTCTGCCCCTCATTCTAACACCATTCAGAGTCTGGTCTCATTTTTCCTTTGTGGACACATACCTGCTATATCACTGGGCAGACACATATGTCTACATCCTCAAATTGAGACAGAGACATGTTTACCTTTATAATCTACCCCCTTCTAAGCAAATAATTTCCAACTGAGAGTAGGAAATGAGAGGTGAGCCCCAGAAGCCAACACTTAGGAAAACAATGCGCTATCAGGAAGCAAAGCACCTCTGAACTGAGTAAGCGGAAGGAGGGGAGAACCACGCCCACTTCTACCCAGAAAACCAGTCAGGGCCAGGGCACACCTGACCACTCACCTGCCAAAGGCCCAGAGAAGCTGACACCTGCCTGCCCTGAGCCTGTGGGGAAACAGACAGACAGACGGACAGAGAGGTAGGGAGGGGCCACTCCCACCTCCACGCGGGTATGGAGACGGAGAGGGGGGAAATAGGCAGGCAAAACTTCATCAGAGATAGTTTCCCCATGTGTTAATGTTTCCATGGTGAACGAAGTCTGAAAATCCTCGAACAAGTCTAGGATGTGTGGTCAAGGCCTACTGACCGGACCTGAGAAAGAACAAGGAATCCCTGCCAAGCAGTGCTGCGGAATGCAGACTACACAGGGCACCCCCTCGGGGCTTGGATTGCTCACAGGCCCTGAGTACACGCCTGGCTGGGACAGCAGAGGCCAGCACGAGCCGACGGCCTGCTGGGGACCACACAGTATTTGAGGCACTCCAGGCCAAGTGACTCGCTCAGTCCTCACACAAGGCTCCTGACCTGATGGATAGGAGACTAAGGCACAGAGAACTCAAGCCACCTGCTCCAGGTCACACAGGCTGCTGATGTGAAGCTGGGCACATCCAACAGGGTAGAGCAGATCTCACCGGAGAAGGTGAGAGGCAAGGAATAAAAATGGCGAATGCTTTTTCTCCCCGTTGGAGGAGAAAGATAGAGACGCAACTGTCCAGGACAAGGGTATGTCCTAGAAACGTGGGCAACAGCCATCCTGGATGAAGCTATGTGTTGGGGCTTTTCCTTGCATTCATCTAATGTCCTAGCTGCTCCACTGGGGAACACAGTATCCCCATTGTACAAGTAACAAAAGTAAAGCTCAGAGCCGCAAATGAACACACAGAGGCACAGTGAGTGACAGCCGGACCCCCAGCCTGAGCTACCAGACTCCAGGTCAGAGTCCTAATCTCAGGGATCCTCTTCATCCAACAGCTTCATTTTACAGATGGGGAAACTGAGGCTGGGCTTACATCTGAAATGCCATATTGTTTTATACTGACTGTACTACACAGCATCCACGAAGTTAATGCCTTGAAATGAGCAGGCAGGATCCAGCACATGGCCTGTTTTGTGGACTGATTCCACAGGCCGGGAACCCAGAGCTGTAGGAGAAAATGGACTCAAATTCAGGCGAGCAGAGCTCTGTGTCCCTGAGCAAGGCATGTAGCCTCTTGTCTGTGACTGCTTCCTCTAATATCACCACTTGTGGCCAAGCATCGCTGCTGGGAGGGCCTCCCTCACAGCCACTGGATACTCATGCATGACGGGCTGAGAGACGTGCCAGTGGCCTGGGAGCTCTCTGCTCCTGCGAGGGCGTGCCATAAAGCCCACCTTCTACAGGTGAGGCAAGTTAGGAACTGACTAGCGGGCAATTTGCCAAATCGCAGAGCCGTGGGCATTGATGTGAACCAGCTACCCCAGAGCCCACACCCACTACCCAGAAGCAGAGTCCAGCACACGCTGGTTCTGGGCTCCTCTCTCTCTTTATTGCCCTGGAGAGACTGTTGACGGATGACCCAAACCAGACACACAGACCAAGGCAGCCTCTACTCCAGTCCATCTGTGCCCGGAGGCCTGAGCAGTGCACACCTCTGCGTGCAGGGAGGGGACAGAAACAGGGACGAGGCTAAGTCCCCCAGGGAGTCTTACTCCCTAAATGATAATGTCTCCCACCAGGGCCCTACCATGAGCTTCTGCTCATGAAAACACACCGGAAGTGCCATTAATCCCTGCCATGGCTCTACCCAGGAAAGCAGGTTGACCCTGGCACTGCCCCAGAGGCTTCTGGGAAAGGACAAAGCACGGAACAGCGCGTCTGAGGGAAGGACATGAGGATGCCAACAACTCCTAGCAGCCAGAAGGGATCAAGGCCAGCACAGCCTCAATGTCGGGACAGTAGAGAAGAGCTTGTCACGCAGGGTTCATCGGCGTCAGCCTAAGAGCCCCGAGTGCCTTTCCCTGCAGAGGGATTATGAAGACCACGTCGGGACACGCAGACACTGGCAAGTAACGACTTCCCCTCGCAAAGGCAGGCGCTGCCAAGCGCTCTCACAAAGAGCCTGCAGGTTAAACCGTCACAAGCAGCGCGTCTCTGCTCCCTCCACCCTCTCTAAAACCGACTTCACTGCGGTCTTCCTCGGAAGCTTCCCACCCCACAAGAGGACCCCCGCCGTAAGTCCACACAGTGGCGGCATTTTCTATGAGAACACCTCTTCTGGACATAGTCTGGTTGGAACAAAAAGAGGCAAGGGCGAAGGGGATCTTTCGCTGGATTTCTTTTAAGCCAAGTAAAGAAGCTTTCAAACCCTATCATTCCTTCAGCTCCCTGAGACTTACCTGGCCTTCAAAGACTTCCCCGCGATGCTCAGTCACCCAGCCCTGTCCATGTCTGTGCCCGATTACACTGGAAATCACCATCCTACTCAGCTCTGAGCCCACACTATGTGGCTCCATGCTTGCCGCGTGGCAGGTGCTCTTCTGTGCTGAACTAAGTCCTAACTAACCTAAAGCAGTCCGTGGTCTGGTTCTATCTCTGCCTTCTTCTAGTCCTTTCGCCTCACAGATACTCCAAGCTAACCCCTAGGCAGTGGGCCCACGAGCCCCTTGCTCTGCCACACCCATGCCCTTACACACCTGCTCTTTTCTGTGTAGCACGCCACTCGCCACCTCTCCCCCTCACCCACATCCCCGAGGAGGGAGGAACCCGCAGAATGACCCTCAGTGGGGTCCTGCTCTCCGGCAGCCAGCGCTCACATCCTGGCCCTACCACTCGTGGCTGTAGACAAGACCTTGGCCATTTGCTTCGCTTTCTCTGCTGAAATTATAAAGTTAATCTCACAGGATTCTGGGAAGGAGCCACCGAGATACTGCTTGTAAAGTAACAGCACAGTTCCTGCACTCGGGAAACCCTGACTGTTGTTGGAGGTCATGATGATGATGATGATGGTGATGAAGCTCCCTAGGGGCTCGCCTGAGCCTTCCTCTCGGCCCCTTCCTGATTCCATTTGGTACTAAAGGACGCTGCAGGGCCCCTGAGGGACACCCCAGGTTCTGACTGGATGCCCAATCACCTACGTACCTTGTGGCTCTCCTTGTCACAGCAGGTGACCACTACAGAGGACAACAAGGCGTGTGACATAAAGCAGCACCCAGCACCCGCCGACCTGATGCTGGCACTCTGCTGAGCCTCGCCGACTCAGCAAGAACCCATGACCTCTTCTGAGTGAGGCAGCCGCCTTCCCACCAGGGGGCTTCCTGCTTAGGAAGAAGCCAGAAGACGTGAAGTAAAGACTCAGTGCATCCAGAAAGGATTCTCGGCCTGTGTGTCCGGCCAGCAGGGAAACAGTGAGAACCCAGGGCCACAAACTCCAGGAGCCAAGCCGGCCCAGTCATGCCCACTGTCATGTTGACCGGAGCTCAGAGCGCCCCAGAGAGAAAAGCCAGTGAGGGTGCCCCCTGGTGGTGCCATTGCCACTCACTCTGCCCCTAACCCCAACCATTATTCTGTTCTTGGCTTGTTCCGTTTGTCCAATTGAGTCCACAGACAGACACACACACACACACAACTCTACAGTCACTAATTACCCAATAAACAAACATCTGGGTCAGTACCATCTGCCTTTAAAAAAACATACTGGTTAGGAAATTCAAAAGTTCACCTTTAGATTAAAGCATTTCAATCCAAAGTGAAAGAGACTCCAAGACTGTGCATTAAATAACGAAATTTGAGCTTTGAAAAGAAATGAAGGGCCGGCGCCGCAGCTCACTAGGCTAATCCTCCACCTGCGGCGCCGGCACACCAGGTTCTAGTCCCGGTCAAGGCACCGGATTCTGTCCTGGTTGCCCCTCTTCCAGGCCAGCTCTCTGCTGTGGCCCGGGAAGGCAGTGGAGGATGGCCCAAGTCCTTGGGCCCTGCACCCCATGGGAGACCAGGAGAAGTACCTGGCTCCTGCCATCGGATCAGCGTGGTGCGCCGGCCGCAGTGCGCCGGCCGCGGCAGCCATTGGAGGGTGAACCAACAGCAAAGGAAGACCTTTCCCTCTGTCTCTCTCTCTCACTGTCCACTCTGCCTGTCAAAAAATAAAAAAATTAAAATTTAAAAAATTTAAAAAAAAAGAAAAGAAATGAAGCTCTCTTAAACAGTGAAAACACATGCTGTATCAGAAATTCTTCTACAAAAGTCTGGAGGTCTTAAAGGATCTAAACAGACAAATGATATTTTACATTAAGGGCTTCATAAAATCCAAGTGAACAAATCTAATTTATGTGATGACAAAGTATTCTTCATCTTTGTGCTGCAGGTATTATACATAGATCTACTGCTTTCCTCATGTTATCATGGAAAGGCAATAAATCCTATGACCAAATCATGACATTCATCAACTACTATTAAGGAAATCAAAAGCTGAGCTTCCCTCATTAGGGGACTGGAGGGAACGGATAAGCAAGTGTAGCTGAGTAGCCCCCTCTCCTCTGAGGACCCCAGCGCTGAATCACTCCACTTCTGTCCCACTGCTGCCACTGCCAATATGCAAATTGCCCCATCCTATTTGTGTCGGTAGCCAGAATATTTGGGCATTTGTATTAGACTTCAAAACAATCCATTGTTCATAAATCTAGGGCACAGCCACAAATTTGCCGCAATATCCCAAATAAGCCTTCATCGCCACGGTGTGTTTTATGGCATATGAAATGCAAAACCTTGCGAAGGAGTGGGGATCAGCAATGAATAGATGCCTCTCCCTCTCGAAGCCACGGAGTCAACTCATTAAACATACATGGCTCCCTTCACTGTAAAGATCTGCAGAAGCTTTGAGCCAGAGCAGGAATGGAAAAGGTTTGATTTTAAACTCAGGGGCTAGCAATGCTCCGCTCAAAACCACCCTCATTTTTAGATTCATCTGAGATTTACAAAAGTCCAGTTCATTCTCCCGCAGAACAGTACTTACGTAAGAGCAGTTACAGCAGTACGTCACTATGTATATGGTGTTACAGCAATTCACAGACACAAAAGTCTCTCCATTCATTTCTATGAAATCATAGAAATCTCATCCATGAAATCAGGGGGATTTCTTTTGAAAAATAAACACATGCAGAAGGATTCCTCATGTGCTCCATAAAAAGCTCTGGGCAGCAGGAGTGACTCTTCAAGCCACAAGGCTGCCCGCCCAAGAGTTCTCCTCTTGGTCCATAAAAAGGAGGAGGCTAAATATGGCCTCTGTTCCAGAAAGGTTTGACAGCAATTCTCCAGGAGTTAACCCGCATCAGCAAGGAGTCCTGGACACCCGGCTCACAACCCACAGGGCAGTGCCTGGGCTGAGAACTGGACCCCAGGGCTGGCTGCTCGGAGCTGGCTCACCAGTTGTGTGACGTCAGGCAAGTTCCCCTGTGTCTGGTGTGGAAACTGCAGCTGCAAAATTTGGACAGTGATGACACCTTTCCCTCTGGGATGCTGGGTGGGACCAAGTGAGATATCCTCCGGGAAGCTTCCGGAGAAGTGCCTGGCACACAGGAAGTGACGTGTAAATATTGCAACTACCCTGTGGCACGGGGAGGACGTAAAACGAATCCTAATAAACCAACCAGCTCTTTGGATGCTTGCCCGTTTATTCCAGAAGATAAGAAACTATCCAGAAAGTGGGCTGCAGTGGCCTTATCCATGGTCACTTGTTACGGACCAGCTTAAACCAGAAAAGTGATTAACAGAACTATTCGTGGTGCCACATGTTGGCAAAGAAAGGTTTATCCTAAAAAAAACAGGGGACAGGAAGTTGTCAATGACTTCTACTCTTTATTTACTGTCGATATCTGGAACAACTCAACACAGCTCGGGTGAGCAAGTCTCTTCCCAATGGTGTGGGCAGTTACTACTTCTCACAGGACCAAGCGGCTCCCACGACCTGGAACTGAACTGTCATCAAGTGAGCTGCTCACGTTCCTTCCTTCCAAGCTGCCCCCTATCGTCAGCTGGAAATACACAAGCAAAGATAAGACCCATCTGGTGCACACGTGGGATATGGTCAAAGTGGCCATGAACTTGTGGTACTTACAAACATGAGGCGGGTAGGTATGTTGTCTGATTGCACCAAAGGATTTTTATAGAGCCAGATCTCTTCCGGCTGGATGACTCTCTGGAATGGATCCAAAAACTCTGTGAAACTGAAACAAAGCAAAAAAAAGAGCGCATGAAGACTGAACATTCTGCTGCCACGGGCAGTTCCCAAGGAGACCACTGCTGCACACCCACGGAGGGTAGGGGGGAGTCCAGCCTCCTGGGGGCAGACAGAAGTAGGCTGCCCCTGCTGATGGCTCAGCCAGCTCCAACCTGGGAAAGACTGGGAGAATTCCCAAGCCTCTGAGAAGAGAGACAGAGAGAAAGGTCTTCCTTCCGTTGGTTCACCCTCCAAATGGCCGCTATGGCTGGAATGCTGTGCCGATCCAAAGCCAGGAGCCAGGTACTTCCTCCTGGTATCCCATGCAGGTGCAGGCCCCAAGGACCTGGGCCATCCTCCAGTGCCTTCCCGGGCCACAGCAGAGAGCTGGACTGGAAGAGGAGCAACTGGGACAGAATCCAGCGCCCCAGCTGTGACTAGAACCCTGGGTACCGGCGCCGCAGGTGGTGGATTAGCCTAGTGAACTGCGGCACCAGCCCTCTGTAGAATCTTCTAAGGCCACCTGCCAGCAGGGCCCAACTCTGCACAGTAGGGAACAGCTGTGAGGCCAACATTCAAAGACACCAAGAACGAGAGGTTCCAAAGTGAGCTAGATGCAGACGTGCAGCACGGCGGCTAAGACTGTGCCAGGCAAAGCTGGCAGCACAGCCTCTGGAATGAAGTGGGCTTGAGCTGGAATAAAAGTAAAGGCTGTCCCTTTCACTGGGGGCAAGAGCTGTCCTCCCCTCAATGGGCCACCCTGATGGTCTGTTGCCCATGCTGCCACTACCATCCCTAGGGTCAGAGTAAGGATGCCCAGGAGAGATTGCAGAGAGGAGGACAAAGGGGGTGAGGTGCATCCTGGGGCTACGGACATGACGTGACAGCCTTAAGCCACCTCCCTCCTCCTCCCTTCTCCCCCCGGGACACGTTCACACCCAGGAACCCCCAACACTCAGGTGCCTCTGCTGTGTCATCACTGGCTGGGCAGCAAGAGTGGTCACTGCCAGGAGAGAATCTAGAGGATGCTGGGGCTTGAGTTTGGTTTTTTGGACGCCACCCATCACCCCCCAGCTCTCTAGCCCAGCTTCCCCAGATGCATGGGTTCAACACGGCTTCAGATGTTGTTCGAGTGAGCCAAAGGGCCATTTGCTCCTTGAGTGTCAGGCTAAGGAAGCTCAATTTGGAGCCGGCAGAGAAGCGTGGGACAGGAGTTCCAGTTCCTAATGACGGCCTGGCATTGGTGAGGCTGTGACGTGGAGCAGAGCCGGGAAGGGCAGACGGGAGGGTACCCGTCCCGGCAACAGATGCCTGCAGGGTAGAGGAGTGGACAGTGCAGAAGGACACACAGGCGGCAGGTGGGAGCTCATTCCAAGGTCTCTGGTTTGAACCAAGATGAGCAGCCCAGGGGTGGAGGGTGGGGTGGGGGTAGGGTTAACCATTGCCAGATCTAGGAAACCATCTAGGATCCCAGGTTGCCCACAACTTCCCTAGTCCAGCACTGACAGTCCTGTAGCCCAGGACACCCTCAGTCTCCAGCACACCGGGACAGAGAGTCGTCCTAAATTTATTATCCCAAACCCTGTAATCAGAGGTGCCACAGCCTTGGTGTCTACCTTATACTTGGGATATTGCATGATCACAATCTGTCTGGACCCTCAGCTACACGGAGGCCAGGCAGGGCTGTGGCACTCAGGAGTGATCTCAGCACCCACCAGGAGAGCCAGACCATCAAAGGAGCTCAGAGACTGCTGGGACAAGAGCTGTCACAGTATTTTCAATTTGATCGGCTTCACACTCAGTCATATTGAGAGTCCAAGAGATCTAAAAGTCAACCTTTCATGTCTATACCTGTCTCTCCTCCTTTTCGTACCCCAGCCTCCCCCAGAGGTGAAGTTTTAGGTCCTAAAAATCTGCCTATTGAGGCAGGCATTTGAGGCAGGCATTTGATGCAGCAGTCTAGATGCCGGTTGGGATTTCTACATTCAACAGGTTCAATGCTGACCTGCCTGGGGCAGTAGCCCCTCTAATCTGAGGAGCAAAACTACAAATATCCCACAGTCTGGGTGTCCCAACCCCACCTGTCAGGAGAAGGTCAAACAGCAGCAAAACAAGGCCTGCCCACAGCTCCTGCTGGAGGTTCTGGCTCTCAGGGCCTGCCATGGCTAAGCCTACTGCTCTCACATTCCAAACAGGTGCACCGCACAAACCCCTCCCCTCCACACACACACCCAGGGCCTGCCATGGCTAAGCCTACTGCTCTCGAATTCCAAACAGGTGCACCGCACAACCCCACCCCCCAACACACACACACACAGTGACAGTTCATTCTCAGGACTACTCGTGGGGACAAGAACCCGAGCACCCCGAGCAAGCGGGCTGCAGCTGAGTGGCTGCATCTGACCTCCCTTCCAGAGCCGTGCAGTGTCACTCCCATCGCTGCCTGTTAGGTGAGTCTCAAGGTCAGCCCACATTCGGGGAGGTGGCTGGCTCTCCCTCCGACTGGGTGTGGCAAGGCTCCACCACAGAAAAGCAGGTGCATGAGGGAGCCCCACTCTCAGAGACCCTGAACCATGTCTTCCCCTGAAGCTGGCCGCAGAGCTAGGGGTCTGCACATACAGCGTCCCCCACAGCCGGCCGCAGGGCCAGGGGTCTGCACACACGGCCGTCCCCCGCGGCCGGCCGCGGGGCCAGGGGTCTGCACACACAGCCAGGCACCTTCCAGCTTCGCCTCGCTGTCTCCCCTTGGCGACATTCCTAAAGCCTTGTGCGCCAGCCTTCTGCACAGTGCCTCACCTGACCCCGAGCTGCCACAGCCCGCGCACATCTATCAAGCAAATGATCTCCCCTGGGAGCAGCAGAACCGAGAAAGACAGATGTCCTTCCTGCAATCACGCTCCAGCCCCCAGCGTCGGCGCAGAGAATCCAGACAGCGGGCAGCTGCTCAGGGGGGCCAGGTCTTAGCAAAGAAAGCAGGGGTCCACGTGGGGACTTGTCCTGGAGGCATTCAAGCTGCCCCCAAGAGAGGACACATCCAGGCCCAGAAACGTCCTTCTCTGAACTCTTCAAAAGCAGGCTGGAAACCAAGAAAGGACAACCCTGCTTCTAGGCACAGGCTGGGGCCTGGTCTCACCTGACCTCTCCCCCCTCCCCACTCCTCCCCACCACCACCACCACCCGGCTCCAGCCACGCCCAGGCTCATTACCCACTGAGAACTCCCTGCAGTGTGTAAGGCCAGCAGTTCCCAAGCTTCAGTGTAGCCCAGAATTCCATGGGGTCTCTTTTTAAGATTTTTATTTATTTATTTGAAAGTCAAAGTTACACAGAGAGAAGAGGCAGAGAAAGAGAGAGAGGTCTTCCATTTGCTGGCTCACTCCCCAATTGGCCAAATGGCCAGAACTGCACCAATCTGAAGCCAGGATCCAGGAGCTTCTTCCAGGTATCCCACGTGGGTACAGGGGCCCAAGGACTTGGGCCATCTTCTACTGCTTTCCTAGGCCACAGCAGAGAGCTGGATCGGAAGTGGAGCAGCCAGGACTGGAACCAGTGTCCATATGGGATGCCAGCACTGCAGGTGGCGGCTTTACCCGCTATGCCACAGCGCCGGCACCCCATGGGGTCTTGTGACTGCAGATCCAGCTACAGCAGGGCCAGGGAAGGCCCCGGGAGCTGGCCCTTCCAGCAGGCTTTCTGGTATTGCTACCGATCTGAGGGTCCAACCTTGAGTGGCAAGAGCCTAGGGGGTCAGCATCGCCCAGCAGCTGTTGGAAAAGGCAGGCTCTGTGGCCATCACTGACCTCGCTGCGTCCAGGCCTGCATCCAACAAGGGCCCTGGGGGCTCTGTGCAAGCTGCATTGAGACCCACAGTGCTCCAGGGAAAGCCGGGCCTCCCGGGGGCTGGCCGGTTTTGCCTCATCCTCCCCCAAGCTGCTCTCTTTAGCTTTCTCAGGAGTGAACCCTGGTTGAAAAGTAAACACGTTTACTACGGGAGAAATCCACATCACTCCTTCATAATAACACTGGCATTCCTTCATGAGGGGCTGGTAAACATCAAAACAAATACGGCAGAAACAGAAGCGTGCTATCAAATCCCACCTCCAGAGCAGAGGTCCTTCTTCCCCAAGAGGGGTGACGAAGCTGTGTCGCACAGCCCTTCCATGCCAGAAGAAACAATGAACCAGAACTACGGGGTGGGGAGCGGGAGTGGTCCTCTCCTTGACTTTGGTGCTGGGCAGGTCCCGTCCACGCACAATGTAATCTCGGCATGCGTGAGGTGGGCACTGGGCCCAGTAGTTAAGCTGCTGTTTAGGGCACCCACACCAGATACCAAAGCGCCTGGTTGGATCCAGAGCCCTATTTATGGGCACCCTGAGAAAGCAGCAGATGATGCCTCAAGCACATGGGTCCCTGCCACCCAAATGGGAGGCCTGGATGACGTTCCTGGCTCCTGGCTCAGCCTGGCCTAGCTCTGGCTATTGCCAAATAAAATGACAATAAATTAAAAATAAACTCACAGTGCACACGCACAGCCCCTCAATCATCTCAAACACCACTTAGGTCACAGTAGGAAAAAAACACAAAAACCAAAGGTGAAAACTCACAGGCACCATCGTCCGGGGCCACTGGGTCAAGAGGAAGATGGCCAGGCAGAGGTCAGTCACGCGCGAGTGTCCCCTGTCCCCGACCAGCCCAGCAACTGATCTCCCGGAGTTCCCAAGGGCTGGCTGCAGGGCACATGGGGACAGGTGGGCACACCACGTGGTTTACTTGAACTTCCAGTAAGTGCAGGGCAGACCAAAGCGGCTGTAACGGAGCCACTCGAGGGCCTCCAGGGACGGCGTCTCCCAGTCTCTGGGGGGCCCCACTGGGAACCGAGCTGGGGCGACCATGGAGTCGCTCAGGCCTCTGCACATACCGCCTATCACCAGTGCTGAAGGGTGGGCAAGGGCTCTGAGACCTCATCAGGTCTGAGGGTCAGAGACAGGGAGAGAGGGAGAGAGGGCACC